GTAACCAAAGGCCAAACTGGTTTTTAGTACAGTCTTGCTGGGAGGAGAGGGGGGGGTCTGTTTACCATCACCTATCTGTTACTGAGCTGCATTTGAGGGCATCTTTTTGAGGCTGAAGTTGGACCAGTTCACAGCCACCTTCTGTCGGGTTTGTTTAGCAGAGTCAAGACAAAACCTAAAAAAAAATTTGAGATATAAAAAAAATGTTAAGCAACAAATGAAGATATTTTTTTACATCTCTATGCCATTCTATGCCATTTCTATATCTGCATTGGTAAGCCCCACTGACAGTGAAATCTCACTGGAACAATACTGATATTTCTTAAATACAAACATCAATGATATTAATAGTGATGCTTGTCAAACACCGCTAAAGCACAGAGCAGTTTGTCTTTGGTAATGACTGGACTTTACCTCTTGAAATATTCAACTTCACGATCAATCTCGTCCATTTCTGTAGGGTCGACATCTTTGGGAAGGAACACATCATCTATCAGGGAGAAGGGGAAAAAATGATGAAGAGCCGTAAACTGGTCTGATGCAACAGACCTACAAGATCAGACCAACTTGCTATTGCCCAATGGTCACTTACCGATTGTGTTATTCGATTTTTCCGTCTTGTTTTTGCTCTTATTTTTAGTCTTTCCCTTCGGTTGCTGTGCTTGCTGCTGTGAACTGGGAGCATTGGAGGTGGTTTTAGTGTCTATATCATGCTCCGACCTGTTTCCCCGTGTGTCCGAGAGGTCATTCTTCCCCCTCTGCGTGTTAGACCCTGTATTATGGTGACCGTTTGAGGCTCCATTGGATGACTGCTTGCAAGCTTTGACCTCTTCTGCTCTCTTATTTCCTGTTTTCTGCGAGTCTGCCTGCTGCTGAGTCTGGTGGTTCTGTTTGGATCCACCTTTGGTGTTTTTATCGGAATCAGCTGCCCTTGTTTCCTGCGCTTTGTGCATCTCAGTTTTTGCCGTTTTCGTACTGGACACTTGCTCCTGAGTCGCCTGCTCCTGGTGCCTCTGATTCTGCTGTTTCTTACCCTTCTTTGCCTTGGATCCAGCTCCATTTGTGGTTTTGGTTTCGAGGACCGCATCGTTGGGCTTGGCCGCAGATGCAGTGCCAGGCTGGATGGACTCTGAACCCGTGGCAGGGCTTCGTTCTGGTGACCGCACACGGATGAGCTTGGAAAGACTTGGCGTGGATTGAAGCCTCTGGATGTCTTTGGCTGCAGTGGTGGTGTCCTCCCAACCATTAACTATATCCAGGTCTCTCTTGAAGTTCCTCAGTGAGAGCGGTGCCAGATCCAAGTCTATCTGCTGCAGATCAGAAGATCCGTTGAGGTGAGACAGCAGATGGTTTCCTTCCAGCGTCGCCGCCTTCTTTGGGAAGTCGTTGACGTCCAGGTTGAGGTCGTACATGCTGAAGGAGGCACGGATGGAGTCTTTTATGGTGTTTTTGATCTCCTCCAGACGGCTGGTCAAGAAACTGTTAACTCGCTCCAGCTCCAACTGAGGCCACTCCAACAGTCTGTTTGCTTCCCCGTCCGGAGTCGAATCATCTGCGGGGTCGGGGGGAGATGCCGACCGGGGTTCACTGCTGGCTGCCTCAACGCTGACCTGAAGAGCCCTCTCCTTCTCCTGATGAAGATTGTTGAGAAATCAGTCACAAACACTTTTTTTTTT